GTTCACAGTAGCCAAATCTGGAAACAACTTGAGTGCCCAAGAACAGATACTGATTAAAGGAACAATGGAACACTATATAGCCGTTAGAAAAGATGAAGTCATGAAATTTGCTTATAAATGGTGGACACAGAGCGTCTCATGCTGAGCGAAATAAGTCAGAAGGAGAGGGAAAGACATAGAATAACTGCACTCACTTGTGTGAGATATAAAACATAGTATGAGACTCACACCCAAAGACAGTAGAAACAAGGGCCACGAGGACTGGTCCTTGGTAGGAAGGCTGCCTCAAGGACTGGGGAAGAGGGCAGTTGGGATAGAGGAGGGACCATTATGTCAATGATGGTTGGAAGGGGTCACTCTGGAGGGGAGATGTGTGCTGAGAGTGGGAAAAGGACCAAACATGATGGCCTCTCAGTATCTGTATTGCAAACCATAATGCCCAAAGGGGGGGGGGGGAGAGAGGGAGAGAGAGAGAGAGAGAGAGAGAGAGAGAGAGAGAGAGAGAGAGAAGAAAGAAAGAAAGAAAGAAAGAAAGAAAGAAAGAAAGAAAGAAAGTGCCTGTCATAGAGGCAGGCTGGTGGGGGGGGGGGGTAGTGGTGATGGGTGGGATACTGGGGACATTGGTGATGGGAATGTACACTGGTGGAGGAACCGGGGTTGGAACATTTTTTATTCATTTATTTATTTAATTTTATTTTTTCGGTTTCAATTATACAATGATCAAGTACCCATCCCTCCACCAGTGCCCATTCTCCACCACCACGGATCCCAGTATCCCTCCCACCCACCATCCCCCCACCCCACCCTGCCTCTGTGGCAGGGCATTCCCCTCTGTTCTCTCTCTCCTTTTGGGTGCTATGGTTTGCAAAAGAGGCATTGAGTGGCAATCATGTTTGGTCTATAGTCTACTTTCAGCATGCATCTCCCATCCTGGGAGGATCCTCCCAACACCCTTTAATTGGTGCTCCCTTCTCTATCTGAGCTCCCTTTTCCCCTGGCACGTGTGGCTGGCCTCCAAGCCATGGAGTAAAATTCCTGGTACTAATCTCGGCCATTCTTGGATGTTAGTCTCCTATTTTGTTACTTTATGTTCCGGGGTTGGAACGTTTTATGACTGAAACCTGATCATGAAAGCTTTGTGAACTGTATCTCACGGTGATTTTTTTGAATCACGGTGATTCAAAGATTTTTTTATTTTTAAAGTTCTAGCAAAGAATACTATACCTTGCAAAACTGTCATTCAAATATGATGGCAGAATAAAGGTTTCCCTGATAATAATAGACTCTGGGAGCTTGTTTGGAGGCTCAAGCAGGGGAGTGCAGCTGCTCTACATACACCCTTGTCACTTTTGCATTGCGTTGCTTCGTGTGTACCATGAGGTTTAAATCTGACTGCATCTAAGATAGTCTTTGATACTGATATCAACTCATCTTTATACTAAACACATTTGATTCTGTTCTTCTGTTGGGGACTAAGGGTTCTGATAGGTCAAGGAGGTGGACCTGATGGGCAATTCACAAAACCATTCAACCCAGGAAGCTGCCGTTCAACGCAGAACGCGGTTCCCAAGCGCTCAGGCACATGCGCGCACACGTGTGAGTGCGCGTGCGTGTGCGTGCATGTGCGTGTGTGTGCGCGCGCGCGTGTGGGCATTGGGGGTGTTTCTGAAACTGCTCTCTATTCTTTCTCTGGGAAGAATCTCTCCCTGAGAAAAATGCTTGTGCTAATATATTAAGGCCCTCGGTTGTTTAAAAGCCTGTCCTGGAGAGACGAATAGACTGAAGCATTTGACCAAAGGCTGTTGTTGTTCTCCTCCTGATGATTATTGGTTCTAGGCAATAACTACTGTACATGGAGTACAGTCTGGGAGCTCAGATTATGAGGTTGAGACAATTGCTGAGGAAAACCATCCAGAGGAAAAAAGGCAGATAGAAATTCATGGGAAAAACGTAAACCAACCAGAAGACAAAAAAAAATTCAATGGCAGTAACTTAGCCCCAATTATCAAAAATCACTGGATGTGAATGGTCTGAACACAATGATGGAGAGACAGAGTGATGGTGTGGATAAAAGGACAGGAGCCTTTTTTATTATAGGGTTGATGGCCTGAAGGTCTGGGGGCAGGGGAGAGGTGGTCTGGCTTCTGAGCAGGGGAAAACACAGATGTCCTACAGAACCCCCCCCCCCACTCTACACTGCGCATGTCAGAAACTTTGATCAGCTATTAAGACTAGCACGTATTCACAGTAAGAGGTTGAAGGCATTTAAAATCCAAACCAGCTAAGGCAGCAACTGTGACAAGGAGAAAGACGCTGTGGAACATATACTCAATGGGATACCCTACTCAGCTGTCATTAAAACAAACAAACAAACAAAACACATGCCTTTTGTGAGACAATTTGCACAGAACAAGAGGTGGTCATGCTAACAAAATTGGTCAGAAGGGAAATACAATTACTGAATGGCTTTATGCAGATGAAGAACATCAATGTTCAAAGGAAGGGAATAAATGACACACAACAAAAATAACTTGCAAGAACTGGAGCAGTAGCACATGGGGAAGGCACTTCCCCTGCATGAGGCTCACCCAGCATCCCATATGGTCCCCTTAGCAACACCGGGAGTGATCCCTGAGCACAGGAGTAAGCCCTGAACACCTCCAGGAATGGCCCCCAAACAACCAACCAAAATAGCTCTCAAGACACTGAACGCTCTGGTGATCAGAGAGAAAGGGGACATGGGCGGGGCACAGGCTCACCTGGACGGTGTGAGGGGAATGGACCTCCAGCAGTGAAGCTTACACACATAGAAGTGTGAAGCTGCGTCCCCCCAAATCTGCAGTACTGCCAACCAGTAATTTAACACAACAGGATCGGGGGGAAAAAAACGGGAAAGAATCCAACCAGAAGACAGCCCACAGGGGTGAGAGATTCTGGGCTTCGGACTCAGAATCTCTCATCATGATCACAGAGAGGCCTAAAGAGATGAGGTGACCGTGCAAGGTTACCCATAATTAGACCAAGGACCTTGCCCCCACCCCAAGAGGAAATGCACAGTGGTCAGGCGTGACTGCAGCGGGTGTGAGGGGTGATGGCCTAAAGGTCTGGGATGGGGGGTCCCCGCCAGGATCACCCCTGACTTCTTTGCAGGGGAAAGGAGAAAGCAGAGACATCCTACGGTAGCCCAGCCCCCACTGCCCCCCAGGGCAGCAACCACAGACACAGCAGTGCAGGGGGCTAACCCCTCACAGGCGGCAGGGAGCCAGTGGAGGGGTGAGGGGATCCCCAGAACACAGCAACGGCGGCTGTCCTAGAAGGAGCTGGCTGTGTTCGAGGCGAGAGTGATGAATGGATTCATTTATGGTCAGAGAAACAATAGGACCCTTTTGACAGGCGCTTAAATTCTCAATCCCCAGCTCCGTGGAGAGGCGGCCAGCGGAAGCGAGGCGGGCTTCTGGGGCCCAGGCCGCTCAGAACCCCTCCAGGCAAGGCAGCTTTATTTGTACAATGAAGTCCACCACCACCTCAATCCTGAGCAGGGGTGGAGGTAGGGCAAAGGGTGCTGGAGAAGGTCCCCAGTGAAGGGGCAGTGGCCCTGGACAGTGGCCTGGCTCTGCCCCTAGACCCTCTGAGATCGTCTTCCATTTCCCAGCTCAGAGTGTGGAGTCTAGAGTTAGCGCTGAACCCGCTCTCTGTGGCCTCAGCCTCTTTTTGCCAATTCAGTTTGGGGTCTGGGGTCTAAACCAGTTCCCCAGAAACACTGAAGCACGGAGCACCAAGACTTCTTTCCGACCTCGTTTTCTTCCTGGGGGTCCTGTCCTACCCGCTTGCCTCTCAATCTCATGCCCCCCCCACATTGCTGTGATTTCACCTGTGACCCCTTGGAACATTCCAGGGATCCGCGGGGTGGGGGACCATCTGGCTGAGAAACGCTGCTCTAGGATGTTGAGAAGAGGGTGACAGAACCCCCAAGGGAGCACAGGATGAGATTGGCCGAGCCCTCGCTCGACACCAGTTCCAACTCCTTTATCCCAGCAGAGAAGAAAACAGTCAACTCACAGTGGCTCTTTCTGAAGGAGACACGGGGAATCATTCGTCCTGCTGACTTGGGATTACAGGTACCCAACACTCTATGTAGCAGGTTAATGGACCTGTAACCCATTAGTATCTATCATATAATCCGTTAATTACTGGCTACACCTAAGAATCAGTGGTGGTGGAGAATGGGCACTGGTGGAGGGATGGGTACTCAATCATTGTGTAACTGAAACCAAAGCACAAAAATTTGTAAGTCTACAACTGTACCTCATGGTGTTTCACTAATAAAAATTTTTTTAAAAGTCAGCTCACAGAACGAATGCAGGACCAGGCTTTTCCTAAGTCGCGGCTGGACTCCAGGTCTCCAGCCTGCCCCGAGCACTGTGGTGCTTCACATGCCCAAGCCCAAGGCTTTGGTCTGGGAAGAGGCTCTAGAGCGTCACCAGAGTCTCAGAGAGAAAACGTGTCCTTCTGTGCGCCCCCCACCCCCACCCCTGCGGCTGGGACCCAGCCTCCAATCTGCTCACAAACACAGACGAACTCAGCTCCAGAGCACTGCGGGGTGCATGCCCGGGGTTGGGGGGTGGGGTGGACTGGGGTCTGAGACTCCAAATACATCGACCTTTCGAGCAAAATGGGCAAGAACCACAGGGAGAGAAGGATGAAACCCCTACGCAGCACTGGACCCCACCTCTCGCTGGAAAGGAGCTTCTCGGAAGGGTCCAACCTCTTCTCTCCTGGGAGAGCCACCAGATGGCATGGGCCGGTCACCCACAGACCGCCGGGTCTAGGATGTTCTTGTGGATCCCGACCAAACTGGGAAACTTGACCCTCAGGACTTCCCCCTCTGCTGGCCACCTGTCAAATACGCCCCACCATGAGTCTGCCCTGAGCGACGCCCCACCGGTCACCGATGCAGACTGCCAGTGGGACTGGGGCAGACGACACGGGGACAAGGATACTACACGAAGGAAGACCCGTCGTAGAGGGTGTAGTGGAACTTGAGGGCCTTCTTGGAGAGCTTCTGCTCCTGAGAGTTCTGGCTAAAGTAAGCCTGGTGGGCGTGGGCAGAAGGCGGGTGGGAGGTGGGGGCGGGACTCTGAGCAACTCCAGAGGGCCGGTGATGGGAGCTCATGGACTGGGTGTCCCCGCCCTTGGGGGTCACCATTGGCTGCGTGGGCATCTTGGCCCTGTAGTTGCGTAAGATCATGGGGTAGGAGAGATTCCTCCCTTTCCACGAGGCCCTTTCAGATTCTCTGCAGGGAAGGAGACGAACAGAACTCCTTGGTTCTCATCCACTGGGGGTCCTCTGGCCTCTCCCCAGCTCCCGGCATTTCCAGCCCATCTTTCTGGGCTGACACCCCTCCCCCTCGTCTTTGGGGGTAGTAACTTCCGGGAGAAGAGAGGGGACCTACTCCCCTTCCAGTTGGCCCCGTCTGCTCCTCCTCTAACATCTGGGTGAGGAACATCTGGGTGAGGACCCAGAGGTGAAGCAGTACAGAGGAGAGTCCCTGAGGGGTGGGGGTGGTCCCAGGTGACCCCTAGGAGGGAGGGCTACCATCTCGAATATCCCCAGAAGGGTAAACTGGGGGGCCGGGGGCTTCCCTCTCCCCTGTTCTACTAGAGCGGGACTCCCATGAGCTCTGGGCCTTGGCAAACGGTATCTGGAAGGACACGTGGTCACAAATCTCATTCACCTCCCACATCAATGATTTTCGTTGATGAGAGGTTTGTGGGGATGTGTCACTCATTAAGACACAAACATCCGGGCATTTTCGGGCTGTCACGCTCTGTCCCACCAAGGGGGCCTCTCTAGTGAGGAGGCAGAGAGCACTGTGCAGGGGCCCAGCCCACTGCCTACCAACCCGGGCTGCCTCCGGGTCCTCATCTGTCAAACAGGTGTCACCCCCCACCATGCTCCTAAGGTCTTGACGAGGACAGCACAGGGCTCTGAGCGAGGAGGGCAGGGATCCTGTCACTGGGGTCTCTTCACAATGCCCCCCGCCATGGGCACATGGGTGACTGGCAGCCAGGCTGCCCTCCACCTCCAGCTTCCCCGTGCCCGGGCCCCGGGCCTCTTGGGGGCTCACATATGACGACACATCGCTTGCAGCTTCTCCCGGGCCTCGGGGCAGGGGTCACTGCTTTCCATGATGTCTGGAGAGTTCTGTCCTCGGTGAGGCGATGACGTGGTGATTTCTTCTAAGTATTTTGATTTGACTGCTGTTGGAGACGAGGGGGTCAGGAAGGAGCTTGGAAGAGGGTCCCCCCCGACCTCTTCCACCAGGGGTGAGGTGAGAGTTGAAGGAATCAGGGGGCGTTCTTTCGGCTTCTGGGACAGGAAGGCCCCGCAGCTCACCCAGGAGATGGAATGTCACCCCCCCTAGTCCATGGGGACTTGGGCAGAGCGATGAAATGGACTGTGGGTGGCCAAGAGGGGCCGGGCGCTAGGCAGGGTCACCCGGCACACAGAAGAACCTCCCCTCCAGCTTCTTGCTTCCAGACTGCCTAGGTAGTGGGGAGTGGGGGTGTTGCGCCAGACCACCAACGTTCGCTGGTCTCAGGCCCGGACATACTCAGCAAGGTCAGGTGTCCCCCCCCTCTTCCTGCCTCCTTCACCCTCTGCCCGTCCCGTTTCATTGTGATAAAATCCACAAAGCAAAATCAACCATCTCGGCCAATTTTAAGTATGCAGCTCAGAGTATCAAATACATCCACACTGGTGGAACGCCATGACCACCGTCCAGTCCACAAACCCTCTGCATCCTGTGAGACTGCAGTTCTGTGGCCACCAAAAAGGAAGTCCCCGTTTCAGCACCTCCAAGTCACCGCCCACCTCCCCTCCAACCCTTTCCTGTCTCGCTCTGATTTTGACCGCTGTATGCAAGCCCACATACATGAAGCTGCGCCACGTCTCTCCCTGTGTGACTTGATTGCTATTTCACTTGGGTATTACATCCCCTAAGTTCACGCACACTGTAAAATATTCTAGAATATTCCATCGTGTAGACGACATTTTCTTCATCCATTCAGCTATGTTCAGGTACATTTCAGTGACTGTGAGTCATATGGTGAACCTAGTTGTACAAATATTTCTGTGAAATCCAGCCTGAAATGATCAGGACCATACAGCAATTCCCATTTCAAGTGTTTAAGGAACTTTTCAGAGTTTCCCACAAGACACAATTTTACATTCTTGGGAATATGGGTTCCAATAAGAGCTGGACACTCTGCCCCATACTGGCTGTGTGCTGCTGATTCCTTTGGGCTGTTTTCTGTACTGGAGGTGAGGTGATAACTCATGAGTTTTGATTTCCAGTTCGCCGATGATCCATGATGTTGAGCAGTTTTGTGTGTGTTTTTGTCTATTTGTTTATTTTCTTTGGGAAAAGAAAGTCGATTCAAGTCTTTTGCCATGTGTGAAACAGTTGATTTTTGTGGTTGAATTTTAGAAGTTTTCTATAGTTCCTGGATATTAACCCTAATTAGATACATATAACTCATGACTATTTATTTTTTCATTTTGCAGGCTTCCCTTTTACTCTTTGTATAACATCTTTGGATATATATTTTAAAAGTGCCATATTCGGGGCTGGAGAGATAGCACAGTGGGTAGAGCGTTTGCCTTGCACACGGCCGACCCAGGTTCGATTCCCAGCATCCCATATGGTCCCCCGAGCACCGCCAGGTGTAACTCCTGAGTGCAGAGCCAGGAGTAACCCCTGTGCATCACCAGGTGTGACCCAAAAAGCAAAAAAAAAAATAAAAAAAAAATTAAAAAAAAAGTACTATCTCTGTAATTTTTGTTTTGTTTTGTTGATTCTTCTGGCATCATGTCTAAGGTGGCCATGCCAGATTCAATCAAGCTTTGGTCCTGTGTTTTTTTCCTACAAATTTTCTTATTCTATGTTGAGGTGCTTGATTCCCCTTTAATTTTTGTGGAGCTAGTCACTGTTCAACTTCGATTTTCTGCACGTGGGTCTCCAAGCCTTCCCAGCACTCTGGTTTAAGGGACTGTCTCTGATGGAGAGTCCTGGGCCCACTCCATGCCCAGCTGGTGTCTGCCAGCTCATTGCTGGAGTTCTCTACTCCCTCCCACAGGCTGATATGCCTGACTTCATGCCAGTACCACACTGGTTTATTGGCAGTATTGCCACATGCCAATACAGTAGCTTTGGGGTTGCTTTGAAATCAGGAACGCTGAGTCCAAGAGCTATTAGCTCTTATTAGCTCTTTCACCAAATTGCTTCAGTTATTTAGGATTCTCATAAGATTCCATATGAATCTGAGTACTAATTGATCTATTTCTGCAAAACAAATCATTGAAATGTTGATAGGCATTGATTGCACTGAATCTTAGATTCAGTATTGACAGTATTGACATTTTAACAAGATTTAACACTTCAGTCTTCCAATATAAGAACGTGAGGGGAGAGAGAAAGAAGGGGGGGAAGGACAGGAGAGAGAGAATGAGGGAGAGAAGAGAGAGAAGAGAGAAAGAAGAGAGAAGAGAGAGAGAAGAAAAGTGCCTGCCATAATGGCAGATGGGGGTGGGGGGAGGGAAACTGTGATCACTGGTGGTGAGAAAAGGATACTGGTGGAGGGACAGATGTTGGAACATTATATGACTGAAGTCCAATCATGAATAATTTTGTTATATCACTGTGATTCAATTGAAATAAATAAATAAATAAAGGGGGAAAGAGCATGAGGTGTGCTTCCATCTACTTATTTTTTTTTAATTTCTTTCAGCAATGTTTTGTGAATTTTCTTGTACAAGTCTTTCACCTCTTTGGATAAGGTAATTTCTAACTATTGTATTGTTGTTGCTGTTATTTAAGTTAAATTGTTTGGGTAATTTCATTTTCAGACTGTTCATCGCTCATGTATAGAACTGCGATGTAGTTTTGCATATTGACTTTTATCTGACTGTCACTGTCACTTCACTGTCCTCCCGTTGTTCATCAACTTGCTCGAGTGGGCCCAGTAACATTGTGAGACTTGTTACTGTGTTTGGCATATCGAATACGTCATGGGTAGATTGCCAGGCTTTGACATGCGGGCGAGATACTCTCAGTAGCTTGCCAGGCTCTCCGAGAGGGGCGGAGGAATCGAACTCGGTCGGCAGTGTTGGTTAGAGGCAAGGCAAATGCCCACCCGCTGTGCTGTGAATTCATGGACCAATTACAATTGTTTCTCATAGAATAGTGAAGGTTTTACACATAAAACAGGTATCAGACACTTACAAACAAGAGAGGCTTCATTCTTTTCAACTCGATGCCTATACTCTTCTGCCGTCTGCTGTTTCGGACACAGTTCCACCACTATGTTGTAGAGCCGTAGTGAAAGCAGTACCATTCATTGCCTTCTTCCTGATTGAAGACGCAAAGTTGTTGGTTTTTCACCACCAAGTGGGATTTCTGCTATCTGTAGGTTTTTAAATATATATATGAGTATGTATATATACATATCGATTTGCTCGAGCGGGCCCAGTAACGTCTCCATTGGAGACTTTGTTGTTACTGTGTCTGGCATATCGAATACTCTCGGTAGCTTGCCGGGCTCTCCGAGAGGGGCAGAGGAATCAAACTCGGGTCGGCCATGTTGGCTACGTGCAAGGCAGACACCCTACCCGCTGTGCTATCGCTCCAGCTATATATATATATATATATATATATATATATATATATATATATATCTTAGTACGTGGAGGTGGTTTCCTCCTATTTGATATTGTAGAGTTTTTAGAAAGCAAAGGTTTTAGCAAGAGGTTCTTTCCTGTACCAATTAAGATGATCATGAGATCTGTTTTTTCTTCTTTTTCTTTAGTCTGGTTACACTAATGATGTTTTATAGCTGGAATCATCCTTGCACTGCAGGAATAGCCTCATGAGGCTATGCTGTAGCATCCTTGAATGGACTTCTGAATTCTCTTTGTTGGTCTTCTGGGAAGAAATCTTGCCTCAACAGTCACAAGGGGTATTGGTCTGGAGTTTTCTCATAAAGCCTTTGTCTGGTTCTGGGCATGGTAGATTCTGGCCTCACAGAATGAGTTGCGAGGTCTACTTCCATTTTTAGTGGGGGAGGTTGTCAATCACACTTAATCACTTCACTTAATCACTTAACTTCCCGTTAGTCGTCGATTTGCTCGAGCGGGCGCCAGTAACGTCTCCATTTGTCCCTGTCGCGTGCTAGTGTAGCCCAATGGCATCTGTTCGCTCTGGGAACATGAAGGGCCTCAAACCGATCGTTCATGATCTTGACGAAGAAGTCTGACCATCTGGTAGGTGGGCGGCCACACGGTCTTTTGACATCCTGTGGAATCCAATCAGTAACAGCTCTAGTCCAACGGTCGTCTTTAAATCTCATTACGTGACCAGCCCATCTGATTTTTGACACCTTGGCAAATGAGACAGCGTCCCTGATCTTTGATCGTCGACGGATGTCAGAACTCCGGATTCGTTCTCTCATTTGAGTGAAACGTGATATTCCAAGCATAGCTCTTTCTATTCTTCTTTGGGAGACCTGAATAGCGTTCTCATCTTGTTTGCGTAGGGCCCAGGTCTCTGAGGCATATGTTAATGCAGGAAGAACAGTGGAATCAAAGATGTGCCCGGAGCCGGAGGTTCTTCGTCCTCTTAGCTATTTCTTCGACGTTCTTGAAGGCGTTCCAAGCCGCTCTCTTCCTCCTGCGCAGCTCGGGTGCCAGGTCATTTGTCATGTTGACCTCTCGACCTAGGTACACATAGCTGTTGCATTCGGAGATGATTGTTCCATTGAGAGCGAATGGGGCGTCAGGAACAAGGCTGTTTCTCATAAACATTGTCTTTGTAAGATTCAGCTGTAGTCCTACCTTTCCACACTCACGGTCAAAGTCGGCTAGCATTTGTGCCGCTTGGCTGATGTTTGGTGTTATTAAAACAATGTCATCAGCAAAGCGGAGGTGGTGTAGTTGCCGACCATATATCTTCACTCCCATTCCTTCCCATTCCAGTCGTCGCATGATGTTCTCGAGGGTGGCACTGAAGAGTTTTGGTGAAATGGTATCACCCTGCCGCACCCCTCTCTTGACATCAACGATCACTTCTTTGTAGAATGGTGAGATCCTGGTAGTGAATCCGCAATACAGCTCACGGAGGATCCTGATGTATTGGGCTTGAATGCCCTGATTGGCTAGGGCTTCAATGACCGCTTCCGTCTCAACAGAATCAAAGGCCTTC